GGGGGGGGGGGGGTATCGGTGTCCCTTTAACATAGCTCCCTTTGCAATCGTCGAATCAGCACTCGCTCTTCCGTCGCGAGCACATGCCACACGCGGAAAGTCACGAACTGAACCATTTTCAGAAATCGCCGGTTCAGGGGGCCTCCAGTATAAAAATCCGCAAACATATTATCATGCGACCACAAGCACTTCCTCGGCCAAAAAAGCTAGATCCTGCTGGCTTTACTGAGCCGCAGGGAACTAGATTGGGCATTCCTAAATCTCTTTGTCTTCCTATTGTGGCTTAACGTTTGCTCCGAAACTCGTTGAAAAGCGTTTCTTTCATCTCTCTCCGAATGCGCATATTGTTTCACCCTAAGAATCATCAAAGCCAGTTTTCCGCGAGGAGGAGTCATTTATGAAGTAGGGGATTCTGATTCTTGAATATTGACCATCTTGATCTTAATGCTTCAAGAATAGATTGAACTGGAGCAGAGGGGCAGAGGAAGTGAATTTAGAAGCGGTTTTGTGTACACTCTCCTCTGTTTCCTGTGTTTCCCTCTTAACCACCTTTTGTTTTTTTAGAGATTGAAGGTGTAGGTGCTCCTCGCTTTTTACTGAGGGGACAAACACTTGCTCTTACTTCTTGATCAACGAAGAGACTGCTTTTCTCGAGCCAATGTTTCTCCTGAGCGTGCGCGTGTGATGTGCACTTACGTACTCATCGACAAATCTGGCTACCTGACCTACTTCTTGTTGTTTTGTTATGAACGTGCAATGCCGTAATACATTATTCGCGGCGGGACCAATTGCGAACTTATTGCAGAATCCGTCGCGAGCCGAGCCAGGCGTCACACTAAAGCACGTCCTAAATGATTTCGGTACGCCTTATGGTGCATATTCCGAATTATTTCAGAGTAAACTTCGATTGTACCAGCTAAGGCGCGTCTTGAAGATCACAAAAATTGTAGAAAATTTTCATTTTCATTGGAGCAATAAAAAATAGAGCACCCTTTTTCGAGTTTATTATTATATCTCTGCTTACAAAACTTGCCATGTATCTTCCCAACTAAGTCAATTACTTTTTCAAAGTATTTGTACTCTACTCAAGATAGTTCGTACTAAACATAACTTGAATGCTACTATATATACATTTCAAATGGGTATTTAGCATCTTATCTCAAATACTGTGGTTGAGTATTTGGCACAAAACTGGTATTTTGACATTTTATAAGCTGTGGCCCCACGTTCAGCGCCCGGATGCAGTCTCGGCGCTTTCATAGTCGCACGAGTTGGCGGAAAATTGTTGAGGCAGGCACTCGGAACATTTTCGCCTGTCAGGGACTCTATGAAGAATATTACGAAACGTCAGCGTGACAAAAGCGCAAATAAAGTAGTTATGTTGAAATTCAAATGTCGCACTTATTCTGGCTAAAAATATTCAAATTAAATAATTTTCATTTCAAATCCTTAACATTAATTAAGTTGCTACAATTCATTGTCTGTAATTGACTCACAACTCAAGTATGCATGTTACTGACCGCCGATACCGACCATAGTATAAGAATACCTAACCAGGCTGACAGTAAGGTCTGCTCTCAATAGGCATGCGCGTTAGAAATCCTGGAAAAGGCCTATTGCAGGCTCATAATTGTTGTCTTTCCGCAAACCATTAGGTGCCAATTTAGCATCAAGCCTAAGAAACGGCAACGCGATTGCTGTAGGCGCAACATCTCCTGTTTCTAAAAGATCATATATAAATGATCTCTAGGAAAAAAAGGGGCAAATTCTGTTATGCGTTCTACAAAGAAAAATTAACTGTTCTGACACTAGTACGCGAACACCCGTTCCCAAAAATGTTTATGGGGCAAAAGCTTTGGGTTTTGGGTGGATTTCAATTTCTGTAGTGAGTTTTTATCTTCAAAGAAAGAAGGGGTGAAATGTCTATAATGTCAGTTCTATACCCTTTTTATGTGCTGTCTTATATGACAAACATTGAAGCAGTCACCTGAGTCGTTTAGAAGCTTTTCTAAATTAAAGAGGGCATTTAATGAGTTTCGAACTGGTTTAAAATTTGCGTTGAAACGAAGCTCATCAAATGTTTCAACACAAGAGAACACCTTTTTATTCGCATTTTGTGAATAACTAATTCTTAATAAATAAATACATTATTTAATGTTTTGGGAGTTATAAGCAAATTAAAATTACCAAACGAGCAAAACAATTTCGCTACGTGACGCTTAAAAAAATCATTGATTGCAGGGTTGGAGCGAAACAGCTGTCCAGTTTGTTGGGGTTACGTTTAGGACTGCCGCGTCGAGAACAGTCACGCATCGTAATCAAAGCCCCTTCCTTGTATCGTGCTATATTCAGGCTTTAAACGCGATCGGGCCGACGCAGAACGACGTTCGTCGTACACTACGCGCGCTCCGCCGCGCTCAGAAGAGCCCGACCAAACGTGTTCCAGCGCGGTCTAGCGCACTCTGCTCCAGTTTATTTTCACTTTCGCTGATCGTCAACAATGCCATCGATGTGACGAAAGCAGCGATCATGAAGAGGAGTTTGCTACACCACGATAGATACGGAAACTGTTGAAACGATGTGGATAAAGAATGTAAATAAGACTTTATTTTCTCCCATATGCCCTATACATGTCGGCGCGAAAATCACGATATGGGAGTCCCCTTATTGCACGCACGCAAACAGGCACGCACACACACAGACACAAACATAAAAATCCCAAAACTTGTTCAGTCCGTCAGTTCGTCCATCGGTCCATCCGTCCGTCTTTCCGTCCGTCAGTTCGTTCATTTTTCGATTGTGACTGGTTGCCGGCGCATTTGACTAGCACATAATCATACATAAATGATACATGAGGTCGTCCCGAATTATAACTCTAACTTTGGCACCTTAACCAGGTTCCAGCTTTTGCCGGCACTCCAGCAAAGTGCGTCTTGCTTTTTGGGCCTAGGAAGCTTCTCGAGGCTTGTCGCATGAACTTGCCCAATCGAGCGCCCGTTTGTGCGTGGAGAAACAAAATAAAGATCTAGACACAGTTTTCTTCCCGCTAAGTTTTGATTCTGCGTATTCACGAACAGCCCTGAAGTTTTTTCAACCATAAATGATTTTCAACGAGCCCTTCTTCCTCCCTTCTCCCCTCCCATCCCCAGAATTCGTAAGTCCGTCAGTCCGTCCGTTCGTCCATCCGCGTCCCACTAAATTTAGGGGGAATATTTACGTGTCGAGAAGAAAATACCAATTTTGTGTTCTTATATCATGCAGAAAATTTAGGTTACGTGACCTGACGTACCGTGACCTACACACAAATTTAATTTCCTCGCTAAATTTAGTGTGGAAATTGATTTCACATAACCCGACGTCACCAGACCTATGCACCAAGTCCGTGTTTCTGCTGTGCTTAACAGGAAAAGAGATGAAATAGGTACTTCACTCCTTGAAACGAGCTTTTTTAAAAAAAAACGTAAAAAAAATCCACATTAGAGACTGCATTTCATGCATTATAAAACTTTAAAGATAAAGGGAGCCACCATCTTTCTTTATAACGCCGGCTTGGGGTTTAATATTTGGGTCTCTGTAAATACCGAACACACGGAACCCGACGCACAACGCGAAAAAAACGTTTAACTTCAGGGCAATTTATAGTGTATGGGGTTAGATGGAACAATCTGAAGAATTTACTAGCCCTTCTCTTGATTTGCTATGAGGGCTCGAAATTTTAAGAGTCGGGGTCTATGAAAGAGAGAGAACACTGTACATAATTAACAGAGAAGTCTGCGTGTAGTGTATTTTCGAATAAAATACTCATTATTTCCTTCAAAATTAAAACTGAACTGGCATAACTCCCAAAGAAACCTTTAGCATATACTGTGTGTTACTTTCAGGGCACTATTAACTACAACCCTACACGAACGTGAAGAGCCTGGCGAGTATAAAGCTAAAAAAACTATGCATTATCCAAGTATTTACATTGAGTTTTTGCTTTTCGGTCGCTATTCGAGCTTTAAACGAATCCGGTATTTGTTTTACAAAATATCTTCTTATCGGCTGCCGTATGATTTTGTTCTTGATCATACTGAAATTTTTCACACAACTCACGAAATATAGGTGGCAAGGTTTGGAAGCCTTGCCAAATCTCACCGAATGCATGTTTTCTTTTCTCCATGGGGCATACTATTGAGGTTGAGTCCCGTGCAGGGTTATAAAAATTGTGCACCTAGCCAGGTTTTTTTCTGTCATAGCGTTTAAATTGGTTTATTTGAATTGATAATAAATTATCAGCACATTTCTACAAACCCATTCCCCATAATGCATTTATATTTCTCTTTCGTGCGACTTTCTGTGCTCTAAATACTATTTGGCGTATAAAAATAATGTTACATTTCTTTTTACATTCGGTATAGTGGTAAAAGCCTGATACAACCAATTCAATTTATTTTGGCGGTTTTCTTTACGTTTAATTTTACAAAATTTAATAAGTTTAGCGTTAAATTATAATCGAAGGCAACTCCGACAGAATTTAATTTATTCCCTTTTTGTGTTAAATACGCACACAATAAACACTTATTGATTTTCGGAGCGAGATTATGCATAGAGGCATCTGAAAAATTATTTATAAGCAACTTAACAGAAAGTAAGTATGGAGTACATAAATATTAGATATCTCAAGCGAAACAAGACGGGTCAAAATAAGGATATAATGTGCATCAATTTTTTTTAATGTTTCCCAAGATTAGCTTTGCGTTCCTAATCCGGATGTTATAATAAGCCTCTATGCCAGCGGAAAACATTGTAGGTAGGTTGTAGGTGTACACCTCTGGTGTACACTTATGTGATTCCAAATTTAATTCATATTCGTAAGTAGCTTGTGACTCAACTCTTAATCATTGTTGAGCTCCTGTAATGTCATTACTGTTCAATATAAGATGAATAATTTACAACTTTGCTTGCAAAGAACCAATAAATTGTGAAACAGTACCATACAGATTGAAATTCAAACTTGCCCTTCGAATGTCTTGATATTGCCAATAGTTTTCGTCTTCGTCTATTCGTCTCTCTCCGGGTTTGGCATCGACGAGCATTGCCAAGAAGAAAATTATCAGAGAAAATAATACTAGTTTCATCTTGAAGCCGCAACTAGAGAAATGACGATACAGTGCTACGAACCGAGAGTTTTTATTCTCGGAGAAGAATGGGGCCGTGATATTTGAGCTTTTTTTTATCTTTTGCTGCGTTCTCGAAACAAGCATTAAAAAAAAAACGATTTGTTTGTTGGCATTTGAGCAACGTTAGTCACTTCAAACATTTTCGAACTTATATTCTTTCCAACTTCTGGTAAAAGTTAATTTTTATTTTATTTTATCCCATTAGAAAGAATAAAAAGGCTCGCATACGATGAAAACATGTATTACCTATATTAAATTGTGAAAATCATTTATTCAAAAAATTCTACTGAATTCGTAAAGAAAATTGTATTTTCGAGAATATAGTGTGCCTTTTTTAAAAGAACAAAAACGGTCTACCTGATAAAACGTGTCGTATTATGTTTAATAATTTAAGCAGCTAGTTGGCCACTACGTTGCGATTGCTTTCTGGAATGGCAATTGTGCGCCTTATTTTAGATGTCCGGCCAAACATGGTGATAGTTATTTGATGTGCTTCTTTATGCAAACATCAAAAAGTCTCCTTTTCATTCCAACCGATAGGAGGACGCGAACATATTCGAGTGTAGTGGTTCAGCTATCTTAATTGCCTACCTAAGTAAAACGCTACTAAATATTCACAATCTCCCATCAATCGTGTGAGGATGTTGATCGGGCTTGTAGTCTAGTTAATGCTGAGACTTCAGAGCCAACGAAATAAGGGCTCTTTTCACTCGAATATCCAGTCTAAATAGCCTTATCAGCTGTAAAGTACTGTAAGTGTTTGATTTGACTGACGTTGAAACGTGTTACCCCAGTTTATGACTGATTAGTACGCATCGATGCGTTCTACACGTCATTGCCTTTCGGGGGCTTTAGCCACATATTATGACACCCGAGCAGTTTTTAATTTTAGTGAATGCTCACCGAACAAGCTTTTGTTGTCGACAATAACACGCAATAAGTAGGAGAGAGCCTAACTTCAGTTGCTTAGAAAGCGGTGAGCTTCTTATTAAAAGTAACAAAGTATAAATTCAGTTACACACACTTATTTGTCTAATTGAATGCTTTATGGGCTTCTTAATTTGTTCTTATTGTCAGTATGACAATTTGAATAATACTATTGACCGATTGCGTTCCTTGAAAAGAAACACTCGGTCTAAAAATGTAAACTGACTTGCCTAAACATAAACACCCGCGAGTGGAGACTCTGCAGTGGGCAGCTCCCAGTTGCCTGTAGCACCGCTGCTGTCCGCTGAATTTATCTATATCCCACGATATTAGCTACAACAGACATTTAGGCTTCTTGGCGCACTATCGGACCGGAATGAAACACGAATGCCGGAACGCGTGGCCTTCGACATATATGCGGTGCAATCTGGAGGTCAATAAATCTGCGTGGTGGAAAATGGGCCTTTGAGGGTAAGGCGCCTAGTAGTAAGCGCAGACACCCTCATAGGCCCACTCTCCAATCAGTCGTTTTTCTTGGCTTCCAGATAGCATAGCTCATATGTCGAAGGCCCCGCTTTCCGGCGTACGTGTTTCATTTCCTTCTGAGAGCACCTGCCAGTTTCTTAAGAACACTTTGTCCAGACTAGGGCTCAACCACAAAGTTTTTACCTCATTCAGTGAACCAATCAACAAATCGTGAGATAGTGAAGATTGTGGATATTGCAGGCCTAGCAAACAATCAAAACGAGTATTACAGCTTACAGGGCTCTTGGATACGACGTTCCTTCAAACGCACCCTCCCAAGTAGTGTGTTTAAAAACTACAATTTTCAGCCTCAATATACTGTCTTTAGTCAGTGACACCTTCAGCCATTTTCCCTATTCGGATGCAAGTAAACGATTTTTGTTAGCGTTGTAGCTGGGTTGGTACGACGCAGAAGCAAGGAGACAGGTCAGTTGACGACCGAACTAAAAAAAAATACAACAGTGGACGTACATGGGATGTTTAAGCTCAAGTTTACATCGTTTTTTTTTTCTTTTTTTTCCCCTTTAAAATTGCCTGGCGGCGTCTGCCGGGTCCATCCCGCAGGCGAACGAGCTGACCTCTTGAGCGCAGGGTTGTCTGGTGCTTGATTAAAGAACGTTTTATATAAACGTATGTGCCGGCCGGTGCTCCTTTTTGTTCCCGAACATTTTGGCTAGCGCAGTTGATCACGACGCGAAAGAACGCCATCGGTAAGGAAAACACTGCGTCCGCGCATAGACTGACAGAAAGACACACCGGACCTGTGGGAGGGGGGAAGGGGGTGCGAGTACTTTAACCGTGCATTCCTGGGAGATGAAAGCAGATTAAGGTGCAATTAATGCAGAGGTACAACGAGCTGGACAATAATGACTATAATTATCTCTGGAAAAGCGGAACAAATGGGACAAAGGACAAACTCAAATCTCCAAACACAGCAATGGGTGACTGGTGCGCGACCAAAAAAATCCGCCTGGTCCGGGTATCGAACCCGGGAGCTCACCATTTCCAGTGGAGTGCTCTACAAACTGAGCTAAGCGGGGGTTAGGCGTCAGTAGAGCAAACAGGTTTTAACAGCTGCCACCAACAAGGGTGAACGGCCTGCATTATGAACGTTATAATTAAAATGGAATTAATGCAAAGGTGCAAGCGAGCTGAACAAGAATGACAATATTAATCCCTGGAGAAGGGAAAAAGAGAGTGTTTTCACTTAAAAGGTTAAAACAGCGCAAAAGACAACGGAAAGGGTAAAGAAGGACACAGACAGAGCGCTGACTCGCAACTAAATTTTTATTGTCCTTCTTTACCCTCTCCGTTGTCTTTTGCGCTGTTTTAACCTTTTAAGTATGTCACACCAGCTCGCCCTGGCTTCAACCTTAGCAGTGTTTTCACATTCTAGATATGTCGACTTCCCTCAGCCAGAGCTTTTAAATACCAGAACACTACTGCAGTGGACTAAAATCTATACCCATTTGCAAGTAAAACAAATAGACCCTTTCACGAATTCAGTGTCATCTGGTGGCTTAAATCATAAAACTAAATTTGTGTACAATACTTTCTATTTTTATGTAAAGTACTTTCTCTATGTGTTTCAGTTTGGACGGTGTTAAGAAACTACCTCTCTGTTCGAGGCGCTTAGTTGAGTATAACTATTGATAAAATTATTTACATTATATTGTTATGAGCAGTCAGGGAGTGTGTGGATGCTGAGTATATAAACCTTTAAAAAAAGGGCTCCTGGCGGGTTCCATTTTCAGTGTTCGAGCGCATGGTGCTTGATTTGCTCGCTTTGCGAAGCGGCGAACATGCCCGTGCTGGGCTCAGGAGATAACACGCTGGACTGAGGGCTGTAAATATCAGAAAGGTGTATACTTCCCACCCACGCTTGATCTGAACTGGGCTAAAGGGAAGACGAATTCTCACAATTGTACTGTTCCTTCATCTAGCGGAATTCATGTCAAAAAAGAAAGAAAAGAACATGCTGGTGCCTTCTGGCGGGACAAAAGCAAAGCTCTACTTTTCTGAAACATTCCCACGCACAGCGTTCACAGGCCTTGTGCTGGTGAGGCTGGCCTCTGGTATCTGCTGATGATCAAAGCTTTACAAGCTATGTAACCTCCGAACTTACAAATTATGCGCACTGAGCAATTGCATGAATTTGAATATTTCGAAAGCACCTGCGCCGCAAGCTGCTTTCTCGGTATTCTTCGAAGTGGGAAGTATGGTCGCCGTGGCCTAGGAGCAGCTCTCTCCCACGCAGCTTTGGGAGCTTCAGTTCTTGAAAAAAAAACAACAACAACAACAACAACAACAGATATTTCCGTTTCTAAATGGCTTTGAGAAAGAACAGACTATAATTAAGGTGCGAAAACTGAAGGAGCATCTTCAGCTCCTTCAGTTTTTCTCTTCAACAATAAAAATAATTGTTCTACTATTTTTTATCAGCTGCTGGCCCATAGAAAGTATAGTTCCCACCCGGGTATTTTTTTTTTTCTTGTGCTGTGCGGAAAAAAAATATTAACTTGGCACAGAGCTCTTTTTAAAATAGTTCAATTCAATTCAAGTCATCTTTATCGACTCCAGTTTGGAGAATGAGACAGGAAAAAAGCTACATTGCGTAGCTTGACAGGTCCCTGTCTCCCATACAGACTTGGGCAGATTAGTCGGCACTTGAAAAACAAGAAAAAGAAAACAAAAACGTACACGACATGATAGAGTTTTGATATCATGAACAGTACATAACTTTTAAAATATTATTTGTTGTTAAATTACACTTGTCTAATTTGGTTATTTGACATATTTTCTATGTGAATATTGTTTTTAATGGGTTCATTAATGGTAGACGATACGGTATACTGGAGCATTTGAAATCCATAATTCTTTCCTGGGATGCAGAAATCTCCAGTGCTCTGGACAACGCGTATCATCATCATCATCATTTATTATTCCTTGAAGGCCCAGGGGGCATTACACAAGGGAGTGAACACTTAAAAAACAAACAAGTAACAAAATTATTTATCTACGAAAAAACGCTGTAATCTAGTTATGGGTTAGAAAAAATAAGCTAATGGCTGCAGAAAATTTTTTAGTATCAGATAAGGTAACAATTACGTCAGGCAGTGAGTTTCAGTCGTCAATGGCCAATGGTAAAGTAGACATTCGATGAGTGACGGTTGACGATGAAATCGGACGGAGTTTACAAGAATGGTCGAGACGAGGGAAAATGCGGTAAGGAGGAGATAACAAACTTTGTCTGAGATGACTGTTGTAATAAAAGATCCGATGAAGAACAGAAAGACGAGACACCCTGCGGCGGTGAGAAAGAGTGTCAAGGTTAGCTGATTGGCGAAGTCCTGATATGCTTGCGTATGGGGAATAGTCGGAATAAATAAAACGGAGGGCCCTGCTTTGAACGGATTCCAGGTTGTTAGTTAGGTATGCCTGCCACGGTGACCATATGGAAGAAGCGAATTCTAGTTTAGTTCTGACCAAGGTAGTATAAGCTAGTT